GCAGCTGAGCGGTTTTTCCAGGAAATGCAGTCGGTTTTAGCTGCTTCAGGATATTCCTGATTTTTGTTGCACACAACAACTTCGTCCTGTTACTACTTACAGGCCATGGTGAGCTATCTTATCGACCAGGAAAATATTGAATTACATTGTACAAGTCAGAAAAATTGTTTTTTTTACAAAGAATAGTAATTAAAAAGACAAATGATTCACGTAAAAGTTTGCATACAGCTGCATTTTCATCCGGAACATTCTCCTCTGCGACAACATTTTGGGCACCGGCAACATTCTCGGCGCCGGCAATATTCTCGCCACCAATAACATTCTCGCCAGTTACTTCGGGAGCAGCAGTGATAGTTTGTCCTTCCGGCCCGACAGGGCTGCCGTTTCTCGCAGCACTCGCCTGCTCGCCCGGAGCAGATTCCTCGGGTGGAATGGCGTTAAAGAGATCAAAAAGCGTCTCCCTGCAAAATGAAATTGCTCAGAAAAACCGGCGCTAACTTACTGCTTTTGGGCCGAAGTATCTTGTTGAATTTCAGACATTCTTGGTCGAAAAGCAATATATAACAGCCTTAGCTGACAAAGACATTAAAAGGGCGCCATTTTGGCTAAAGTGCGATTTTGATGCGCACTAGTGTTGCCGGTACGATCAAGCGTTTTTGCAGCTTGAAATTTTCTCTGTGCCAGATCCTAGCGCACTTAAAAGCTAGCTACTATTACTTTTTTCATTTCCCGCGGGGTAGGGCATTATATTCAAAAAATTTCAGTTTTCAGCTCTGTTAATTGCAGTGTGAGATTACAGTTATGGTATTTTCCGTTGCAAAGGTCGATTTAGCAAACAACAAAATAACATTGGAAAGGCTTTCGCCAGCTCCCGATTCAGTGGTCTTATTCAAAGAAGTCGAAGACGGCGATTTTTTTAGCAATATACTTCAGTACCAACTTATACAACTTATCATTGAATTTGTTATTTTTCGAAAGTGTCAGTAAAAACCTAAAATGTACTGAGCAGATCCCTACTCTCTAAACTCAGTGAAAAGGGATCCATAGTTCAAAAATATAAAAACTTCTTAAAAAGTGTGAAAAATGGATTTACATTTCGGCAGGTGCAGAGGGGAGATGTGCACCAAATTCCTCTTGAAAATCGTCCCTTTCGGGAAGTTCTAACTCTTCTCGCAATGTGTGAGCCTTCAAATCCAGTGGAGGGATTATCCTGTTTTCCTCACGTACCTGGAAAAGTTGTTGTTACAAAAACTGGTTCAAAAGCTGAGTAGATATTTTTAAAATGCTAATAAATTGATCGCGCAGAAAGAATTTTTTCATTCGAGAAGTAAACGAAGAAAGGATTTTAAATATAACAGTTTTTTTGAAACGAATCGGTTAGCTTTGGGGCTACAACGCTTTTATAAATAACCAGAAACTTTAAAAAATAATTTTACCAATGGATCGAGACTTAACAGTCCGTTCCTTGCCTTCTCCAAATTCTCCAGTGTCTTACGGCGTTTCCTCTTCCCAGCTGTGCTGTAAAATTTCAAGAGGGACTTCAACGCGGGCAAGGGCATCTGCTTTACTCAGAGTTGACTATGTGGCTATTCAGTTTTTACAACAAACTGCGCCAATTAATATAGACAATCCGTAAACTAGTTTTGCCACCTGTTAAGGCCTTTTACAGCAAATTGAGACACATAAGTTTCTGTATCCAAAAAGAAGTGCTGGAAGAACTAAACTGCATTTCAGAAGCTGTTTTTTGATGAAAAAAAATAAGGAAAGGTACTAATGTCGGGAGATTTTATCCAGAAAAATTGACCAGTGAAAATAACATATCTGCTGCTACAAGCAGTTCAGACAACTTCAGTTTGGTTACCCTCAAAAATCTTTGAAAAAAAAATCATCGGAAGTTTAGTCATTAAGTTTACACACAAAACTTCGTTTGAGGATAAAATGAGGGAAATATGAATAATGAAGTACTGTAGATAAGATGTAAGAATGGTATGTATTTAAGAAAATTCTAAGCGAAGATGAAAAAAGAAGTGAAAAGAAAACAAAATTAAATTCTTATAAACTAAGAACTATGTAATTATTGTGCATATGCGCTCCCGTTTCGGCTCCAGAATACATAGGGGAAACACCTGGTTTTGACAAAGTTTAATAAGTATACTGTCTCATCCAATTCATGCAGCTCACATTCACTGCTAATTTTAACAATAAATGTGCCATCTTATTGTTGATTAAAAAAAACAAACGAAAAATAATGAA